CATCCACGATGTATTCCATGTGTCGATGCTACGTAGATACATAACAGACCCTTCCCATGTGCTACACGTTTTCGAGACGAACCACTACAGATAATGGACTGAAAGGTTAAGAATCTGAGGACAAAGGAGGTGCCATTGGTGAAGGTATTGTGGAGAAGCCAAGGGATATGGGACATGACTTGGGAACCCGAAGAAGAGATGCGTAGCAACTATCCCTATCTTTTCACCTGATGCTGTACAACTCTTGTGTATGACGATGGATCGTATGGAACTTCTATCTGATGTATGACACTGCTGTAATGGAAGTGTTGGATATTGTGCTATGAATGCGAATGAATTAAAGACATCATGTGATTCAGAATTCGGGGACGAATTCTTTTTAAGGGAGAAGGATTTGTAATACCCCGATTCCCGAATAAATTATTTAAATGACTTTTGGGAATAAATGAATGGTAAAACAAGCCTAAAAACATAGAGAGCTAATATGAGTTATCTCTATGTACCCTTGTTTTCATCTCATAACCATAATATCTCAATGGTTTGTTGTTCTTGAAAGAGGACGTTTCCATGAAGATTTAGAAACAAACGGCACTCGATTTGGTTGAGAAACGAGGGAGATATGGACGAACAAAAATTGAGGAAAAGCTGAAATTGCAAGATCGCGAATTTGTATGAGGTACAAGAGTTGCGAATCAAATTGCATCCTGTGAACATGGGTTTTCAATAATCTATCACTTGGATATGAAAGAGGACATCCCAATGAAGATTTAGAAACAAACGGTGCGCGATTTGGTTAATAAACGAGTGAGAACGGAGCAATCGAAAACGGACTATGCGAGTCAGTCCGAACAAACCGGGAAGCCAGTCCGAACAAACCAGGAAATCAGTCCGAAGGGACTAAGAAAGTCAGTCCGAACGGACTAGAAAGGCAGTCCGAACGGACTACTTAAGATAGTCCGAACGGACTATGCAAACAGACTGTCGGCAACTACTTTAGTGCGCGACTTTCTCGCACATGGGCGACCCATAACCCACTCAAAAGCCACCAACCCGACAAAGTGCGATCCTAGCTAGCCCCTAAGGTCAATAATTCGTCTTCTCTCTCTCCCTAGGCTCCATAATTGCCTCTCCAATTCTTCACTCAGCCATTTTCGGATCCAGAAGCTGCAGAAGAGAAAGAGGAGAAAAGAGAGAGAGAGGGAGAGAAAGAAGAAGAAAGGAGAGAAGGGGAGCTTGGGAAAGTGTTGGGAAACATCCCTAGAGTGTCTAGGAAGAGATCTCAAGGTGGAGGAACCCAGAAACATCACTCAATCTCAACCAAATCAGATTCAAACCGAATCTGATCCAAGAACAGGTGAGTGGCTTGAGTTGCATCTGTGTAAGCTCGTTTTTATCGATGTGATCGTGTTATTTCGATGATTTGATGCCTGTATTGGATAGAGGACATCTCAATGAACACTTAGCAACAAACGGGATATAATTTGGTGGAGAAATGAGTGAGATATGAATGAATGAAAATCGAAGAAAAGCTGGAAAACGCAGAACGCAAACCTGTCAACATACCTGTATTGCGAATTATTTCTCATCGTGTGATTGCAATGGTTCAATTATTGGTTGAATGTAATTGAAAGAGTACATTTCAATGAACATTTAGCAACAAACAAGACTTAATTCGGATAAGAAATAAGGGAGATATGAGCAATCAAAGTCGGACCAGAAATCTGTTTTCGCGAAGACGACGAACTGCAGAACGCAGTCCGAACGGACTGTAAACCCAGTCCGAACGAACTGACTGTCTCAGTCCGAACGGACTGATGGTTCCAGTCCGAACGGACTGATTTTCGGACCGAACGGTCCACTCGAACTGTCCGAGACAGAACGGACGAACCGAAGGTCAACTTCAACTTGAACCGACCGGTCCGGAGTGTAGAACCCACTCTTCGGAGAATTTTCGAGTTACCACCCGCGGTGAGATGTGTGATCCAATTTTTGAGAGACTCGTTGTGTGTTTGCTCATCGGGGAGCATCGTATGGCATTGACCGGTAGGTCGGTTGGGGACCGAATACCGTGAGATGCGTGATTGTAGTGGGGGCTACGTATGCATGATCGTTGTGTGTCATGGTTGTAGCTTCACTCGTGCGGTACGAGTAAAGCGTGATTGTGATTGTGATATGGTCGCATGCGGTGCGACGGCCAACGTCATGGATTTGACGGGCGTGTGACGCGCTCCTAGTCATGGACTTGACTAGGGTTTATGGCTGGAACCCTATGGTGGACTCCATACGGGTGCGTTACGATTTTATTGTGTCATGCTAACTTGACACGGCCAACGTCATGGACTTGACGGGCGTGGACTCGCTCCTAGTCATGCTGACTTGACTAGGGTTTATGGCTAGAACCCTATGGTGGACTCCATACGGGTGTGGTTACTTTCCCGTCTGTGTCATACTGAGTTGACACCGGGTGGTCACGAGTGTGACCAGCGCGTGATACGCGTGTGTCGCAGGTGACGCGACGGCCAACGTCACGTGAGTGACGGGTGCGCGCGGTGCGCCCCTAGCCATGCTGACTTGGCTAGGATATTGGGCTGAAACCCTATGGAGGATTCCATACAGATATGTTTGTGATTGATATGGTTGTGATGAATGTTATGTGATGATGCATGTTATATATATCTTGTTTTTTACGTTGACTATGAATTATCGTTTTAACACCGTTCTCGCTGAGAACGGGTTTACCGGATTCAACCCGGGCTATTCACTAAGCAGTTGTGTTTAGCCCTCGTGGTTTCATCCTTTTCAGATCACGAGGAGTATGCGTAGCGCATTCGGCCGACGACGACTCTGAAGGGACAACATCATGTACATGTTTTGTATTTTGGACTACGGGAAATGTATTCCCATATTTTGTACGGTATATTATTTAGTATTCGGACATGCGTTGGTTTTGCGACTATCGTCGCACATGTTGTATTTCCGCTGCGTATTTACATATTATGGTTAAAAAGTTTTAAATTTCCCGTATTTTGGTTTGGGTATTATGTTATTAATTTTTGTCCATGTGGCGCATCCTGTTCACGGGAAGCGGGATACGGGTGTCACACTTGTTTTGTCCATTTCAGGATCAGGTGGTGCAGTGAAGTCTCCGGGAGAAAACAACGGAAAAATCGGACGAAAACGCGGAATGTGGGACAAGAGCAAAAACAGGCTACCGCCCTAGAAAGAGATCTGACCGCCCTAAAGTGATAGAATGTCTCGAGATTTAACAGAAAATTCAGAAGGGCCGCCCATATGTTCTGCCGACCGCCCGAAAATGTGAAGCATATTCGGGCTCCCGCCCAAAAACACAAAGAGACCGCCCATTTCTGTCTGACGAAATTTATTTGTTGTTTTGGGTCATTTCTAAGCCCATTAGTGAGAAGGAAGAAAGCCCTAGGGTTTGCTGAACAAAAGAGGAAAGAGGGAAAGAAGAGGAGAGCTTTTTGGCCATTTGAGAGGGGGAGGAACCACTTTGGGGAAAACTGGGAGCTTGAGAGGCTTGGAGAAGAAGAGAAGTGATCATCACCATTGAAGACCAATCTAAGCATTCATTTCTCTTCTCTATCATGTTCTCCTTTGTTTCTTCTTGTTTTCTTCCTTTGAGTATGGAGTAGAACCTTAGTTGTGAGGGAGGGGTCCCCTTTTGTGTATGGATGCTGTGTTTTCAATCTATGGTACTCTTTTAGTTGTTTCTATTGGTTTGATGTCTTATCCTTCATGCTTTTGATCTTGGCAAAACCTTGATTGAATGATCTTCGAACAACATTGATCATAGACATATGGGAATGGTGTTTTGACCTAGACATCAAATGAACAAAGCATTCACATTGAGAGATGGTTTGACTTGTTTAGGGTTTATGATAGGGGTTGTTAATGCACCTAGGAGTCTTCTAGATCATTGAGAGATGGGTAGTTGATTTTCTATGTAGTAGATCTAAGCTTGAGAGAGAAAGATCTTATACAAAGAGCCTTGAAATCCCCAATTAGAAATGATGATCATGAGTGCCATCACATTTTGAACATCCATACCCGTCAAAGGGACCCCGAACTCACAACATTCGTGTCCAATCGTTTTCATCACACAAGTTTTGTTTGCTCATTTGACCCTCATTTCATATTTACATTTTTACAAACACCTTGCAATCAATATTTTCTATCACCCTTGATCTAGTTTAAAGTTAGATTAACGCAATCTAGTCCTCGTGATCGACCCCGATACTACAACTACCGTATACTTGCGGATAGTGGTACGAATCGGGTTACAAATTTAGAACTCGGTGCGTGCGCATCAAGTATATGAGCCAAGAGTTCACTGACTATCTGGTTGATTGTGGTATTGTATCACAATTAACTCCTCCTGGAACGCCACAATGGAACGGCGTGTCAGAACGGAGGAACCGAACACTGTTAGACATGGTTCGGTCTATGATGAGTCAGACAGATCTTCCGAAGTCTTTCTGGGGCTATGCTTTAGAGACCG